TATATTCAAGTCTTGACATGCTTTGAATAGAGCCGCTGAGTTCTGACTTTATGATACAAATTGTTCGGAGTTCAAACAAATAATCTGTGCCTTAAATTTAAACCAGCTGTAGCATTAGCTCCACAGTTTTTAGCACAAACCCTTGCCTCAGGAACCGCTTAACCAATTGCCAAACCAAGTGAACAGAAAGTTTGTTTTCAGCACGAGAATATGACTTGACAAGTAAGGGTCTATTGTTATCTGACCTTGTTATAATCAACTCGAGATAGTACCAGCCTCGGGACATCTACTCACCCGAGATCTTGACTCTGACAAGTACTAGTATGCTATTTTCTCGCTCGCCAGAGGTACTCGTAGCTCTACTAGCTTTCAAGATGAAGGTGGTATAGAGAAGTACCAGTGTTTCCCGTGTAAACTACCGTGGCTAGATTTGGTGTGTTAATATGATAGGCAAACTCAGAGGCTGCGCCCACTCAGCACTCAGACTGTCAGAAAAATGTGTCTTAGCTTATCAGACCTTACGCAGGCTGAAGCAATAATATCCAGCCTGATGAACTGATCAGATTTGGCAGTGATTCATGGAGAAAATGATAGGACCTTATCATATTTGCGGTGAAGCTGAAGAGGAAAATTTAGGTCCTATTAGGTCGCCAGAGAGCTTCAGAAAAGGACGAGTAATGGTAAGACAGTCAGGCCAAGCAAGTGCTGGTTAGGTGGTAGCAGGCAGCTCACTCGTTTACAAAGACAAAGTCATTAGCGCATAATCGACATGAGTACAGAAATGAAAACGTAAAAAAACAATAGCCTAAGAGTCAATTGCCGAAACGTAAAAATATATCTGTGTCTATTGTATTGTTCAAGAAAAACCGACCCTCTTTCAAATCAAATGCCCTTATCATATGGGTTCCCCGAATAAAATATTGCGGGTTTACCAATTTGCTTTCTCTCTTGTTGTATAGGCAAGCACCTGCCCAGTTTGTTCTAAACTTTCCATTGGAGGCCTTGAAGATCTTCACAAGAGCTACATCAAGAGTTCCAGAGTCCAGAAAACATCAAAACAATCCGGTAAGGCGGGCAGGAGTGGAAAGTGGGGTATCTGTGTTGACTAGAACACAGTCATATCTTTTCTGACCGTTGAAGGAGGGGTTGCATTAGAGAATATTGCGGTCCTCCGTCCAGCCGTCCTGTGACTGGTAGGTAATGTAGATACATTGAAATGGCAGAACCTGTGAAATAAAATCTATTAGAACAGTCTGATATTAAGGACAGCATCATACCTTAATAGGCCCAGCTCTAGCATCATCAACTTCTGAAGACACAAACCTTCATACCATCCTATCCAAACTGCGGTACTCTGACTTCAAGGCCACTGTGTGACTGTACTTTGTTGGCGAGCCAAGCATGTAGTGTTTGCTGGCAGGCTGTGCGGCCAGGCTTGCTATACTGTCCTGCAAAAACTTGAAATGGGCATTGAGACCTTCAGATTTGGTCTTGGAGTCGTAGTTATCAATAAGCATCCATATATGGGCAATTGCCTCTTGGTTCTTGTCTATACGAACCATCTGTAGGTATAGAAATATATTAGTGGACAATTAAAATAGATTATAAAGAGTTAATGGCATAGAGTGAACTGACGTACCTGTGGATCTGTGTTTCTTTCTGCCGGATATTGCAGATGCTGTGATTGCTGGCATGTTGTTTGGGGAAATCAAAGTTCTTGTTGTAGTCTCTGGAGACAAGCTTATTGAAAATATTAGTTAGTAGCATTATACAAGAAGCGAGAAAAATTATGCACATCACAGGACTCCTTTTATTTGAGTATGTAATGTTGTAATTTTTGTAGTTGGTCCTCGGTTATACATTTGCACTCTAACATAAGTCGATACCTTGCATAGGCGCAAAGACAATGTATGAGTGAGCAATTGTTCAGCAAGAGCTGTACTTGTTAGTTTTGGTGATTCTGCACCTTTGTGCTACCTATATATTTTCATTCCTTTCTCTATCTATTCTTCTATCATTCACTATTGATTGTGTTCTCTATTATTTTGCCTTTGTGGCTGCTTTGTTTACCTTTGTTTACAAAACTTCGGACAGTACTGCAGAGTCCAATGCTTCCTATTCTCTAGTTACTCACATTGGACTCTAGGTACTGTATACCTGTCATACTCTCTAATAATAAAGTTACTCACATTGGACTCTAGTTCCAGTCCCTGATTGCTCTCAGCAAGTGGCTAGACACTTCCTTCAAGCTTTGTTCTTAATAGTACTATGCATGGAAGAATACACTAGATAATAGTTGACTAAGCTCGTGTTCCCAACGGATAACAGTAGCAAGCACTTACCTTCAATATGTCAAAAAAGGCTTGGCCATCTGCATAATCTACAGTAGTCACATCTGAGAAATGCTTGAGGTTCGACCAACATGCTACATGTCGCATACTTATATGCTGGATATCAGTACATGCTACAAGGCAATAAATAAATTACTTACTTGGAAGCCAAGTGTCCTTTATTGCCATTCTCTGTCAACACATCCAGAAGTAATGGCCAAAGATGTTTCCCCCACTTTCCAAGATCGTCCAAGTGGAGCTTGTCATATGATATTGATTTATAAGGATTGGAAAATTTCATGGACCAGAAGAAGTTCTGTATGAAAGAGCTCGTAGACATGTATCACTATGATAGACTAGAAAAACCTTGGTTGCATGTAATCCATGCTCTTGTAAGATGCGCTCAGCCTCAGTTTTTGTTGGTGCCCAAACAGAGTCCATATACAGTTGCTGCATAGTCTCCATTGATCGTGCTTCAAATGTTTGATGAATGTTGTGTAAGTTGCAACGGTGAACTAGACAAGCTGGGCAGGGGTAATTTGCAAGGGCTGCGTGGGTGGTGGTAATAGCGCAACTCTCTTCGCCGTCAACACATTTGATTGGAATACCTGGGTGAACTATCCTATCAATATTGTCACCACAAGACATCGCTTCACCAGGATGTTCACAATCTCTTATTGGCCCAAAAACCACGCCAAGTACTTTATGGTAGACCTTGCGCTTGAAGCAGGCCCACTGGACAGTCTCTGCAGCATTGCGGTCTGATGGATCTGCAGGGTCTTGAGGCTAACAGAAGATCAATCAGTGAACTAAGAGCTCAAGGAATTATACGCACCACAGGCATATAGCCAACAAGTGCACCACCACCATTTCCTGAAGTGTTTTGTATGGACCGTGGTAGGAAGAGCGTCCAGATAATAATGGGGTGTTTGCGGACCCGTTTTGTTATGTTACCTTTATCTAGCCAGAGTGAGATGGGGAGAAAGCAATGAGGCAATTCACCATCTTGTGGGAGGAGGTTCTGAAGCACTTGTGAAAAGCCGAGAAAATAAGAGAATTAATTTACCTGGATATCCCAGCCATCTGCGGTGCAGACCTCGTCATACAGCCGCTTTTTGAAGACTACTCGACCATTTCTGGAACAATAATATTTGTGAATTGGATACCAAAATATCATGTCCACAAGGGTTTTATCTGTGATCCAGGCCTTATAAAGCTCCCATGGGTCCCGATAAACAAAGTCAAAGTCATATGTTTTACCCAAGTACTGGGCAAAAACACTGCCCGTCTGAAACTAATCTGCTGAGTGAGCACAAGCCTTGAAAACTAAGATGAATAACCATACCTGAACACAGTAAGGCCATGCAAGACTCAAAGAATGTTCCATATCTGCATAGTTTTGCAATGTGATACTTGTTCCGCGAGCCCAACCATGCTGAATCCCTTGAAGTTGTGTATTGACAATGTCCTTGCTAAGCAAACCTTTGATGGCTGTTTCTGTGTACTCAAAATCAGCACAAGTTTGAAATGGAGCCCATGGTCTGCTAGTATAAGTTAAAGACTCGGATGCAGGGGAGTATCTGTTAGGTTGTGTCATAGCGCCACCGCCGATACTATGTAAGCTGACCACTGAATGGTCTTGGATGCCACTATGTGGGTGGTGGATTACTTGGATGTATTGTGAAGGCTTGTCTGATGGATCTGGATCTTGAGATTGCAGATTGGGCTGTAAAGTCCCGTTGGGTTCTTTTGGCCCCTCATCAAGTGACCGGTCCTCATTGTCATTAGCATTAAGAGGATCCTAGTTACACAATTAGACGGTTGGCTACTGTAGGAAACTAGCAGGCAGAAATTGAAATAGAAACAAGCTTACCTGTACTGTATCAAGCCTGAAACATCTGCATGGACCTCCTGAACTATCTTGAGAACTTGGATGTAACAACCAAGAGTTAGTTATTCTGGCGCACACAGGAACACACTATAAAGGTAGTGATGGGGGAGTGATTACCCCTTAAGCTGCAGAGAGTTTGTTGGTATACAACAGGAGGACTCGCTAAGGAGTCTCCTGGATCTATTGGGGTATATATACGAATACAGAGTGTTTGTACTTATGTACTGTACAGTTGATAAAGTCAGTGGCTGATGATGTCATGGGGCCTAGCCCACATGACCAGCTCCACTGTGTGAGAGAGTTGTATCTAAAATAAGAAGAAGGCAACGCAGCGCGAGAAAGAGGAGTTTGAACAAAAGGAGAAGTGCCGCGTGGCATCATGTGTGAAAGCTAAAGTATACAAGGTTAAAGCGGAGAATGAAAATGAAGGAAAGGTCCGAAAATTGTGTTATCGTAACATTGGAGGACTTTGCTGGTGATTTTGAATCCCTGGTGTAGCCTGCATTTTGGCACAAAACCTATGCTTACAAGCCTCAACATGTTTATCAAACAGTCTGCTATTGCACTTCCTTTTACAATACTTGCAGCAGAATCCATTGGCTGAAGCTCTTGATGTCCGATGTTGAGAGCCCATGTTGTTGTAGCGTAGTGAGTCAGGTATTGTCGGACTTGAAAACCCTAGATCTACTTACTTGAATGTCGTAACTAATTAACAATGCTCCACTCGCCAACTGTAACTCAAACTGTGACCACAAAGAGCTAGAAAACAGGACATCAGTATGGGAAAAGGACGTCAAAAGGATAAGCGAAAAAACACTGGGCGAGCTGGGAGGAAACAGCTTGACAAACATCTCATACAGAGACAGCCACAAGCCGAGGAATCTGGAAGCAATCAGAACCATGTCAACGGAAATAGGATGGCATACCAAAGCTCTGAATCAGGTTCAGACATGGAGATAAGTTGTGAGATGTCACCAAACTTGTTATATAGAGTAAGTATTAGCATATAACTTGATGGTTATAATTACTTACTGTATGTGGAATAGGCTGCCTGGAAGGCACAGATTACTGCCAACCAAGCTAAAGAAAATGCCAGGCTTATTCAAAGGAAATATGAGGACACTGTGGACCACACGCTCAGCCTAGAAGAAAGAAGCCCTGATGATGCTCCACTGAGGAAAAAGCGAAATTTAACAGACTCACATGAGGATGAAAAAGTAGTAAAGCGGCTCGGACAAAAGTTTTTGATCACGCATATGCTATGGATGCAAGATGCTGTCAATACATTTGATACACCGGTTGACAATGAATACAGTCACTTTTGCCGCTTTGAAGACAAAGCCTCAAAAATCCAAGGGCAGCTGAGGGATATCAAGGAGATATTACCCCTTTGCTTTCATAGTTTGCTTGGTGAAATGTGGTTGGGACAGATAGTGAGCAAAACATATATACTAGTGAAGAGAGTGTCTACTCACACAATACAACAGTTCCGTGATGGTATGCAGGTCCAGCGGTCCAACACTGCAAGCAGAATCCGAAGTTGTGGTAGCCTGATTTTCAACTGTGCACAAGAAGGCAAAATTTTATTGAGAAAATAGGATGGAAGAAGGATAGGATAGGAAAACTTACTTGTAATCCATGGCAAGTAGAGAATCTGCATAACAATCACACTGGAGAAATGGAGGTCGACAATATTTTTTTGAACCAGGTTCTAATGCTTGTAAGTACATAATAAATACTATGCTCTACCATCAGGGATCTAGTCTTGATATTTTCTGAAGGTCTTGACTTGTATAATTTGAGGGCCAAAGTCATTGTTGTTAGTAAAGGAAAACCAGCCATTCTATGCAATGAGGAATAACGAAACCATGGACATAAAGTGGGGGCTTGACCACACTACTCCAGGGATGATAGTGGCATCAGCCGTTCTGGTAAGTCAAAATATTGCTCAAGTTTGAAAGCATAGACTTACTAACATTACAGCCCCACTGGGCTCTTTCCCCCAATGATTCTCTCAAGGAACACAGTGCTGACTCTGGGATAGATTGGCATGATGACTTTGAGAACTACCTTGAATACCTCATGAGTGGCATACAAAAACAAAAGTCAAGCGTACTTAATATATTCCGCCAGTGGGACCAGGTTCTCTTCCCAAATGCAAAAAAGGGATTTGGAGGAAGGGTAAGCAAGGAGGATAGAGAGGAAGATGAGGGAAGCAATGGCAGCGCTGAATGATGATGAGGAGGAGCCCCCCACTGATAATGAGGGTGAGATGGGCAGAAACGAACAAACTGAAGATGGTGGGGATGGCAGGGAGGAGAATAGCAATAGTGAAAGTTACCACGAGGACTTCACTTCGGACTTGGCTATCTGATTACTGGCTTGCAAATGGAAAGTGTCAGGTTGTATTCATAGATGTACTAAGAAAAGAACATGATCTTATGTGTTATTGATCAACTTTGGAAACACAATCACACGGCTTTGATGTTCTAAACTGAGGTGTGGAAATATGTATCCTGAAACACAGTGTCAACATCGGACACACTGTATTGTTCAAACATGAAAACTGATATTTATTCTACTACACTATCACATCTGAATGCTCCTCATCTTGGGCATGATGTTTGATAACACCAAGAATTGCAGATACAGTGTCTGTAAGGACTATTTTACTATTTTCTTATATTCTCTATGTCTTGGTTCTCAAACACTTTTCCCATTACACCTCTGGCTCTAGGGCTAGAGGTATTGTTTGTGATCTTACTTCTCATAGCCCTCACAGGCTTTCTTAACCACCGCTACCACTTTATATCACAGATCAGAGACTGGGTATCATGCCCAGCCAGCCAGCACAATGGGTAGGGACTGGTAGTAGGCATCTCGCCAACCAGCTCCAAGTCCCATTAAGGCCTGGATATACTAATAAATGCTTCGATCAGAATCGTACCTCATCATGAGGATACAGTTCCTGAACACACGTGACAAACACCTATTATTAGTACAATTCTCTCACCCGCTGATTAATCAGTCAAAGTCGTACGATAGTTGTTCCTTTTTTCTTATTGGACAATTTATTCCTCAGACCACTTTTCGTCTATTCTCCTTTCGGCCTGAGGAATGAACGGTTAGCTATATAAAACCTTACCTATTCATGTATAGTTCCTTAGTTTTCTATTACTTGAATTATCCGCTTTACCTCTTATCAGAAACCTCTGAGTCCTAACTCCTACATCCTCTACTTGCTATATTCTCTAGCATCTGTCAATAACCAGGCTCATAGAACCCCTTACTCCCTGCAAGTGCAGTCGGAGACATGTTTTGTTTTTGTTATAGTTTATCGTTGCCTCACAGCATCATTGTGAGATAAAGAACGAGAACTATTGTAGCTGCAACAATACACAGGGCGCCACAATGGACTCGGATGTGCCGCAGTGTCTCTTAACCACTGTCTCGTGATTCTGGTTGCTGGGTGTTGTCACTGGCATGCCAGTGTGCATTACTAATACAAGTGGATTGGGTCCAAGCCATTAGATGCAGTTTGAAGTTTTGCTAATCTATTGACTTCAGTGGCTTCAGTGGTGCAAGTTCCACTTTGATGATGTGAGTTACTCCATGTCGCCACATCCTGTATATAAGTACAGCTAAAAACAACATTCACACTTAGGTCACTCCATTTCATTCTTTCCCTTGACCATCATGGTGCATATTTTCTTACTTTAACAAGCATCCCTGCACTCAATATTGCCATATACAACCATGGACATTCATCCTCACAGGCCAATTGGATCCCCAGCTGCTCTGTATACATCCAGGACACTCATCCTCGCAGGTAAAGTTACATACATGGTAATGCAAATATTCTAACTAATCTTGTGTACCACTTTTTCTCAGCCTTTCCCAGTTATTCCTTCAAGCCTTTTCAATATTGCCCCAGTAACTCATGTTGCTGAACCCAGGTCCACATATTTATCAAGGCGAGTTCCAGCGGCAACACTCAGCAGCTACCTTGACGACCTGTTTGACATCAACTGGAATTGACCGGAGATCAGGTATGTTCACTGCCTTGATTATCCAATATTGTAATCATTTCAGTAGGTGGCCTACTGGGAGTCTGGGACAAGCTGGCATGCGTAGTAGTATTAATGTTATGCCATTGCCCATAGTTTTGATGCTGGCAAGCATCTAGCACTGTTTCAATTAGCTTCACTTCCAAATACTACAATTTCGTGGTTTGAGAGTGTGCTCTTTATTAAGTAACGAAAATTCTATTTGACCTTTTCGGCCATAACAATGCCTAATATGCTACATGAGGACCTGACTCTTCTGATCTCCATTATTTGGGCCAATATTATTATGACTTTGTGAGTCGGCCACATCATCGTCCTTACTCTGATCTCCATGATATTGATGGTACAGCTGATATGGAAGATATCAACGATATCTGCAATTGCGCCAATCTCGACAATCTGGAAGGAGCTTTTCTGGTCATTGCTGATAAGGTCTTGTCGCAGCCTTTTGCGGGTTATTGTGCTCTCAATTTACTGACGGCCTTATTGGGGTTTATCAGGCCTCATATGAGAAAATGGAATTTTCCGACATTCAGCCTCAGGCTGGCACCGGCACATCGCCGCAAGATTGAACTTTCCGTGGCCGTGGTGCTAGTGTACGTGCTCGTTGGGGCCAAGGACCTAGGATCGTAACATGCTTCGTGTCGCCGCCCAGTAGAGTTGTAAATGAATGAATAAACCCGAGCGAGCTTAAACGCCGCCCGCTCGTTCACTGCAGTTGTTTGTGTTTGTGTATCTGGAGCTTGGGGATCTAATATATGCAAATAGCGACTACGCTGACCGTTTTACTACTGCCTTTTCAGTTAACGTTAGTCTCGTTGGCAACTGAAAGTACCTGAGCGGTATGATGAAGACTCTATGCCAGTGAACATCTCACTATTGGATTTTTTCAAATAGCGGTGTGTTCAAAGTATTTTAATATCAATCGCATCATTAAATAGTGACTCACGCGTCCCGTAGGTCTATTCTTTACCATTGCCTGTGACCCATCAAAAGATATCTTCGCAGTTCAATCTAGGCCTAGACTTATTGCCGTCATCATCGCATTGATTATAAGCTGTAAGTACGCTCTCTATCGACTCAGTTAGTTATTGAAGGATCCGGCATATATATGACTTATTCCAATCTTATTCCAGGCGTCTAAAGTGTCGTGTTATTTTGATGGTACCTTTGGGTTTATTCAGTTCATCCCACAGTCCTGACTAGTTTCTTGTCCGATGGGCCAGTCAAATTTCTGCCATCACCTCACTTCCAGGTGACATGGCCAGCGTGCCTTACATATTGTGGCGATTGTCAGCGTCGAGGCCATCAGCGCCTTCCTTGTGAATTGATCCGCAGACCACACGGTATGTAATATCACTGAGCTCTCCTTGATTTCTTGACAATGTGAGTCACTCTCGATCAGAATGTCACCTCGTTCCGCGGTTGACGTGGGCTCTTTTTCGTATGTGCCTTGCTAGTATTGTCTGGCTAGTTCTCACAATGCCCATTCGCCGTATGTTCAGGCGCCTGGAACAGACTTAAAAGCTGGCCATGTAACTTTGAAGAAAATTATTCTCCATCCACTCCACTTGTGACGACGACGAGAAGCTCAACTTTGTTATCTATTAACGATGTTCACTACCATGCGGTTTGCCTCCCTCGCCCTTGTTGCAGGTGTATGTGTATCAACAGGTCCGCTCTGAACTTTCTTTTTGTCATATATCCTCTCTCTGAACTACTTTTCAGTTGTGGCGCAGTCGCTGCCCACCAACTGTGACAGGAACTACACAGTCCAAGCTGGCAACACTTGTGATGTTATTTCTGCTCAGCAGAATGTCTCTACGTAAGAGGTAGTCATTCAGCGACAACGTGCATCAACTAAATTGTACCATTACAGCTATCAGCTCGCTTCTGTGAACGCCCAGATTGTCAACACTAATTGTACTAACTTATTTGTTGGCGAGGTGATTATTTTTCGTCAAAGGACGCAATGCGCTATCATAAATTGACTAACGCGGTTGTGGCATTACAGTTGCTTTGCTTGGGCCTTACAGGGCAAGATTGCAATGTCACGTACGTCATGCAGTCCGGAGATACCTGCAGCACTATTGCTGCGGGTGCTGGAATCCCTCTTAGCACGCTTCTCACCAACAACCCAAATGTCAACCCCATTTGTAGTGATCTCTACCCTGGAGAGGTAAGCGTACAGCATATTCATCTTGGAACTTCACTCAAAGCAGTCTTTACTTTTAGGTCTTGTGCACTTCCAGCCAGATCTACGTGAATCTCACTTACTCGAGCTAGATCTAATAAAAGCATAATTTATATGGATAAAGGTTTAGAAAATAGGGAACACTGTGGGTCATTATGTATATTTAAATGTAACATTATCAATGCGAATTAAATGGGAAGTAGCCATGAAAGCGCATTGTTAGACTAAAGCCAGCAGTGCCTTTGAGATACTCGAAACCCACTATAAGTATATAAGTCTCAGGCTTATTCACCACGCAATGTTTGAATGGTTTTATAACATCTTTTTGCACATTTGTATGACTATAAGTAAATAGGAAGCGAGACTACTGTTTTACATTGAGTAAATTCGCGATTACATTGCTGTTGTGACTGTCCAATTGTTATGCATGTGATAGATGTATGGATCCAGGGGAAACGCCCCCATTCAATGGAAGCGGGAATATTTCACGCATTGTGGTGGCGATAGCTAGCGCCTTGCAATTATAAACGTTCTCTTGTGTTACCGAAATAAAAGAACCAGATCAAGCCTTGTGGCACTCTGGGGGCGTCTATACCAGTGTCAGTCATTAGACCGCCAAAGGCAAGACAAGCCAAGCCCAGTACAAACCTGAGGAAGTGCAAGCGATTGCACGGCCATCGGAGGGGAATATGGCAGAATAATACTCTTTCGACTGCTGGGTGATGCAAGCAAGTCATGTAACTGCTGGACTGGATGCGCCATTGAAGAGCGAGGTGAAGGCGAAAAGGTTCGAGGTCGCATCGTAGATAGTAGTAGAGGCGAGAGGATTCTCGTTTCGCTTCGGGCCAGGTGCTTCCCTTCTTCTCTGGCAAGCTTTGATTGGTGTAAACATCGCTAATCACAAGAAAAATGGAAATGGAAATATGAGACTTACAGTGATAGAGTCACGAAGATCTCTGACTTCGCTGTATTTCCTCCGAATTTGCCAAGATAGGCCCCCAAACAGTTCGCGGAACTGTTTATATAATGTATTCGCCCTGTAGGTCCTGATCACAAGAATTGACACCTCCTCTTCTTGCCTGAAGATGTGAAGTTGAGGCGAAGGCGAATGAGATAAGATCTCGTGAAACTCACTCCTGTAGACGCTGGAGATACGTTCCCTGATTGTTCTCCCCACAGAACAAGCCTTCTTCCAAAGTCGTGATGCAACCGCCTCGAGTTTCCTTGAGTAAGTTCTCTAGGTCCCTGATCACATATTTCGGGAGAATGTTGATGATGATCGTATACAAGCTATAGAAGCCCACAACAATGGAGGCCCAATTGATCATCAATCCAACTACAAGATTGACAAACGTCGCAGAAGTGACACCAGCCATAGTAATGACCTGAAACAAGATTTGAGCATCACAATGAAGCGAAACAATGAAGCTGGCGATCCATCACATACTTTAGGTTGTGGGGTTCAAGTAGGCGTCGTATGTTGGGTATAGAATGTGGGTATACACGACCGCCCCAAGAGGATGAGTAGCGAATCGAGCACAGAGACTCTTGGAAATGCAGATGGGGGATTTGTGGAAAGGAGAACTGGGACTCAATACGCCTCATATTTGGTTCTTATTCCTCCTGGTATTCCCGAGTAGACACGATGAAAGCTGCGTCTTTGTGGGTGCTCCTACTTTTCCATGTAATTCTGCGAAATATCGTCCAGTCAGAGGTCATAGTCATGATAAGATGCAGTCAGACGTATCGGGAAGCGGAGATCAAATTAGAGATCGCGTCCGAAAGCAACTTGAGGCGCGTTTGGTGCAAAAACAACGCGACATGTATTTTTTGTCTCATATATCTGTGATCCTGAGAATATATTCGTTGCACGAAACTACTTTTTGGAGAGTTTTCGTGACGTAATCAATCCAACCCTCCATCACATTAGACCTCAAACTTCAACTCGGACTTTTCACTCCACAAGATGACGCCCAATACTGATATATATTTTATTTACTTCAGGTTGATCATCCACTCACAGTGCGGTGAAGATCATACCGTTTTCGGTGTTGAGAAGGTGAGCTTATATTTTTTCGCATATACTTCACAAAACTTTACCATTAAGCTATGATACCATCCAGGGCAGACATATTGATATTATAGGCAGAAACTGGTTTCTGGGCACCTTCGACAAGCTTCCCAGTACACACAACCCCGGACGTCTCTGCTTATTTGCGCTCAATTGTCCATTCACCGCGGATGTAAACATTGGATTTGCATCCTCGAGCTCTCTGGCGCGTTATGCTTGGCATAGCGCTTTCGTTTAAACTAAGGTCACGCTCTCAATGTCAATTCCCTGGGAATTTAAATGGTGTCTTTCTTTCTTTTGGCACTGATTCTTCGAGCCCTTTAGTACAGTGCGCCTCAAGTATTGACGCCCTGCTGAAACACATCCCTATCCAGCCGAGAGCGCAAGCGACGGCACAAGGATTCAGAGGTGGAGATCTGCTGTACGCGTGTATCTGACGTCCTCAGTGTTTAATTATGATCTGGTTGGATCACCGGAGGCCGCCAAGACAGAGCTAGGAGACTCAAAAGTACAAGGATGCCTGCATTAAGCAGGTCTGAAGATATATAAGGAAGTACTTCAAGATTTAATATCTAATCGTTGTGGTCGATCGAGGAGATGGTAGCACAACGGTAATGTTAGTACACCAAAAGCCGGTTAAGTGCATCGTGTCAACTATATAATCGCTCGAGTGGTGTTGCTCATGCTTTTACTAGGTCATACCCATCTCTTTTCTTAAAGACGGGTCATCCAACAGCGCTTTTTTTCTATGGAACTTGCAATACTTTGATGCTGAACTGATTGATACCGGGACACCGCTAGCCGCAACCATGCATTTAATCCACGGTATTCTAACTATCATTCTGCCTCGGAACTATTTCCTCCTTACTAGTCGTGTCGTGCCAAAGCAGTCTTTACCATACTAAGTGATTTCTTTCCTCAAAGAACAGCAGTTTTTCTTTCCGACCCTCGAACAGACTTGGACACCGGCATCTTATTTCTGATACACACAGTCCATCGGAGGTCTTAACAATACAAGAGTTCAGGGACTTGGGGCGACATCACTGAGCGGACATATCTGAGGGAACAATATCATCGTGTATTCGGCTGGCGCGGACCGTCATCAAACCTTATGGCTCATAGCCTAACACCCCTAGATTTAGGGGTGATAATGGAAACTGCATACACTTGGAGAAGGCATAACAACGACGAGAGTTTGCCTTCGAGCCTTTTTTTCCTAAGGGATACTTAGTGCGTATTGCGTTATCTTGACGAGCTAATTACGCTGACGTTGAGGGACTGGCAGCGAAACCCCTTTATTCTTCCGGCGTTCGAGCACGATAGGGTCCGAATTTTTGCGGAGTCGAGCTCTCCATGCTTTTGGGGTATATCATATTCGAGGAGAGCACATTTCTGAAACTGATAATAATCCATACCTGATATAACAGATTGCAGCACCTATAGCAAACCCATGCCTGCCAGTCTCTATCTTCTCACTCACTACAGCACAGGCAGCGTCAAAAGAAATCTGGGAGTAAGTCCACACCATATCGAATGGTTCTAGCTGCTGTTACTTTTAAACCCCTTCAATCAAGCGTTCGGCATGGATTGGCTGGAACGGAAGCTTCAGTTAGCGAGAGAAGTTAGTCCACTAAGTTTGGAGTTGGGGCGAATAGGGGCGAATATACAAGGAGGCCTATATAAGGAACGATCGGGCTCCTAACTTGAGGGATGATCGGTATGATCGGTATGATCGATCGCCTGAAGGTACTTCGTGGCTGTGTAACGAGAAGCGGCGCGAAGTGAGCACGTTGCTGCCAATCATATAGAGAACAAGGACCTCGCATAGTGGCAGCTACATATATAAACCATGCGATTGATGAGACGTTTCCGCTGCTGTGCGTCCTCTTTTTCTGGGATTTATCGTCAGCTGACTGCGTCTTCTTCGGACTAGGGAATTGATGGTAACAGCCAACCTGGATACTGCATGGAAGCCTGATTAGAAAGCGCATGGAAGCACTGGTCACGGCCATATACTTGGCCGACGACATTCCATGGTCTCGCAGGAGTCCAGCCTCATTCTCCCTCATGGCCATCCCCACTCTGTGGTCTTTCGTCGACTTTGCGATATTCATATGACTCGAACATGTTAAAAATGCAAAACGATTCTCAAAAGGTTATGTACCTGCGCCTGCCAATGCGCTGATCCAAGTGCATATCGTCCACTATGGCTCTGGTAAAATCTTGATCTCCCGACGAAGGGTTCCGGATTGTCAGTATTCGAGGACTTTCCGTCATCCAGGCCCGCCAAGCCAGTCAAAGTCGTCAAACAGCCAATAAGGCTCTCGCAATGCAGACCTCGACAATCAGTCTTTCTTCATGACTAGACAGGTTAACTAGCTAGGTATTGGTAAGCACGAACCATTTCGTTTATCACTTCCATGTCATTGCATATCAATTATATCTGGGTACCACGATGCTACCCATTGGTTACCCATCGTATGTGGCTATAAACATGCATTCTGTGTGACGCTAAAATATTAGTTAACAGGTGGATAACTTGACATCATGACATCCGTTAGACTTCCTCTTCTGATAATGCAGAACTGGAGACACCATCAAAATCGTTGGCGGGCAGTCCGAGAGCCCGAGATATCACGTTTGACCAAGACGTCCGGAAGGCAGGCTGATTCATGAACAATTTCAGTCCGCAGCTTTCGTATGCAGAGAGTGTAGCAAGACTTTCAGCGCACAAAATCACTGGCGACGACGACGTTGGGGAGTCACTGTATCAGTTGAAAGTTGGTAGGATGTAAAGGCGGAGCAAATGGACCACCGAACCTGTGCAATGTTTTTCGTGGGGCGTGATTCAGATTAATTGTTTTTGACAATTGCGAGAGAACACGGATGAAGCGCTCGAGAGAGTGATGTCAGAACCGACATCATGATGTATAACTCAACAAAATCAGCTATCGCAGTTTCATCGAAGCTACTCTTTACTTAGGCAAATAATATAAGCAAAATATATAACAATCTTCAGCATACTAGTGACTATTTCTCATAAATGGACGATTAAGTGGAATAAAAAAATATCGCAGTGCCAGCTGAAATACATAGCGCTTAATTTATTATCTATCGAAATTTATCTTTCGAAATCTACCATATAGTCAGATCAGGAGTGAATAGACGAGCCAACTTCCTAATTCGAAACTACCACGAGAGCCTATTTATCTTTCATTTATTTTTTTGGTATCAGAGGTGTAACAGATTGTTGGCGGGAGAAGACATTTTCAAAGAGCTGGGATTGATGCCATGTGTTCACAGCGCGTAGAGCCCATGGAACGGGCGAAACACCGGTGACATAAACCTCCAAGATATTGCTAGAGTAAGATATGCTTCAGGCGGTGAAGAACAGAGCAGTAATATAGACAAACCGCACGGTAGTTCATGTCTACGGACATGAAAACTCCATAGCAATGCTCGTCGCTACTAATGACGCGAGGAGTAATTTTGCTGCCAGGTGCAACACTTGGGGGTCCATTGCTGTGATTTATGGTGGGACTATGCGACGACCAACCATTGTGTGTTGCTGCCATCATTGGGTGAGAAGGCAGCCACGTTCCAGCTCGCTGCGGGTCGAGAGGTAGCGAGGAGCCCTGCTCGTTCCTCCAGGTTTGGCGCCGCTCGTTTTCGCTGGAAACCTTGAGTATTGTCAGTAGCGCACATGGGTTTGATACAAAGATGAAAATCCTCACAATAATTGAAGCACGAAGATCTACGAGTTCCTTGCACAGCCGCCTGATGCGAAAAGATAACCCGAGAAAGAACTCGCGGCAGTCCTTGTACCACGTAGTGGCACCATAGGCCCTTCCCTTCAGGATCGAGAACTCTTTTTGCTGCCTAGAGGTTCCACATGAGTTTTAACCTGATGAGATTAGTGATGAGAAGACATTACACTTCTAAGCGCCTGGTGAAAATTTTTTTATCAGCGCTGGAAAGCAGGCGCTCCTCCATCGCCGAGACGAGAATACTCTCAGTCTCTTGAAGCAAGCCCTCTGATTTTTTTATCATCTTACTAGGGAGATGAAAAAACCCCAGAATGAAGAGGATGAGAGTGAGACCTCCGGTGAGGAAGCCTAGTATGCCAGAGGCATACGAAAAGGGTGTTGTATTCACCATTGATTGGCTTAGTGATCTAAAAGAGGGCGGCTAAGTATCAATATGGTTGATGTATCTGTATCATCCAAAGTGATGTGCTCGTATAGCTGCACTATGGAAGGAAATACAGGAGAACATATATACCTAATGAAAATACTCTTTAAAGCCGTAGGCGGAGAGTTATATACGCGACACTGAAAGTTGAAGGAGGTTGTGAAGGATCGTCCTATAGTTTTCAGTTTTTATAATCCTTCACGCACCAAATTTACCGACCGCATGGAGAAATAACAACCCTTTGCCTTGAGGCCACTGACTCTGGCAGGACACACATACAAGCATAGGAACACGTTGCAGCAGGGAGGTGGAGGTTGCGCCAGTGGTGAATACACCGAAAGGGATTTACAGCAAGTCTTCGTATTTTTGGGTGATCAGATCCTGAAAACAGAAGTACAAATGTTAAAAAAGTAGCTTTTTATCGAAGTAGATGCTACATTAAGGCAGAAAGCAGCTTACGCAGCGACGTGAGGGACACGGAATGGTATGTATGACAAAGGAAACGTGCGCCAAGGCACAATATCATCTTCTATTTGACTAGCCATAGCTCTTCAAGGCCATATTGTCTCATTATTAGCTGACCGCCGCCAAGCCGAGTGACGAAAGCGCAGCCCGTGAGCGCTGATTGCTTGATTTCTGAACAACTTGCAGTGCTGGAAGAAACATGTCATCTACCAGACTGTGGAGCAGCCAAGAGTTCGAGGGCAACCGGGAACAACTATGTTTTGCTTTCAGTAAGCACCCATGTAAGAGAGCAACTACTTCCCTTACCACACTCGCAGGGGACAGATTGTGCGGTAAAAGAAGTACACCAATATATGCTGAGTTCTGGTACTTTGAATTGCAAGGGATAAGTACGGTCGCTATTGTCACGATCTTGTCTTGAGACATGATAATAATAATCGCGTGTTGCTGTGTATTGATAACTGGGAAAATTTGAGAAAGGATAGGCTGTGGTCAACCGCCTCAGGAATGTTCCGAAGTACAACCATGTCAAAGATAGTTCAACAGTTGGAATTACTGTTGAAGCTGCGGCTCATTAGCTGTGCAGTCATATGAGGAAGAAGGCAACACCAAACATGGTTCCACATACCATTCAAAATTTACGGTCAAACGATACGACCATCCGCACACAAAACAAAACCCCTTGAAAACCCAGGTAAATCACTATAGCCCACTAAGAGCTGGGATGAAATCAGTGAGCCGTATCAATGTTCTAAAACTTTAGAAAGGTATGACATTCATAAAGAGAATTTGTACTTTGTACAAAGGTATCAGAAAAAAACAGACACTCATCACTCACGCAAATCTGCAAATGTGAGATGATCTTTAGAAGTACAAATCCAGACTGCGACCCTTGATTTCAATGTCAGCGTCGAAGTATTTAGATAAGGACATTGTAAAAGAATTTTGCAGATTCAATGCGAAGGAAAGACCTCGAGCACAAAGAAGCGCACCAGAGGGATAGACTCTGAAGGACAGATGCGGAGAGGCATGTTTGCACATGAGCGCTGAGCGCTTACCAAAGGAATCCATTAGAATTCTGGAATAGGAGCATTATAACGCCGCTAGCCCACGTGTGCCAAATTTTACCGTAACTATATAGTAAGAGCACTCACCGCCATCACGGAAATCGAAAAATTCTGCTAAGCCTATGCAAAGTCTTAGCAGGAGCCAGCAGGGCCAGCAGGTTCTGTAATCGTGACGATATCTATACCAGGGTATGTACAAAAAGAGCTCTTGGAAATTCTTCGCATCTGTTCATGATGCCTATTTTCTATCAATTGCTGTTACTTTGGCACACTATACAAGCGGCAACAATTTGCTGACTATTATGCATACAGGCCGACATTATAGACCTTTGGTATGCTATTCAAGTAATCAAAATTTGCTGACTATCCTGCATACAGACCGACATGGCAAGCTTGCTATTGCAATAACGTGAGTCACATCTATATATCATTTATAAGCCATGTAATAACACTTTGGGTTGTAAGTCATTAGCAATCATGTCATATAGCGAAGAGATATCAGGTGGGGCACATTGTCACAGATGGAGTCGTCTCAACAGAGTGTCGAGCAAATGCAGCCACAGCATACTATGTTATTGGAGGCATACAAGGCAACATGTGGTCTATGGTAAGCATATGACACAACATCCTTCCCCCCGAATCCTTGCCATCTTCCTAGCTCTGACTTAGAAATAGCAGGCTCCGAATTTAAAACAGAATGCCCTGCCTTTTAATCGCTCCCCAATAATGCACTGCTGGGCAAGGTATACCGGGGTATGATGTGTATGTGGCTCGGCCAGCTGGATCATCCACTGGAATATTGTAAATTACACTGCAGCAATGTCACAAATTTCATTCCGAGTCAGATTTTCTGCTGTCAAATACAAATATTATGGACTACTGTGCTATTGTTTTTGTAGAAATTATATTACATAAGTGAACTTCGGAGCTTCGCCCGAGGCTTTAGTCTGTGATTACAACCGGCCTTTTGTGGCTATCATTGTCTTTCACATGATATTTACATATGTTTATTATATAAGAAGCATGTATTTACATTGTTATGGCATTTGATTGCCAAGATAATCCTTCTCCTGCGCCTGTTCCCATGCTCTGAGGGACCGAATATCCAACAGTTTTGCCACACTATTCTGCTAATTTACACTGAGCTGCCAATAACTGTGCACTTCTAGCACCAATGTAAGACGAGTGCGATCAAGTGTTCATTGATCCAGGAGAGCACTTGAAAACTTGTCTGTAAAATAATGTTAGTGACATGGTGACAAAACCGGATAAACCCGGTCTCTGCCAAAGCAGCCGTTGTTCTCCATGGAGTATAGCCACCATTCCACGGAGTCACCATTGTTCTCCTAGGAGTCATTATACTGTAGCGAGTAGCACCTCCAACTATAAGTAGTAGGGGGTTTAGTATAGGAATACCTCAGTCGTTTCTATAGCCTCTTGGGCAGCGGCTGAGGTATGTTACATTACATTTATTAGAGATCACCTTAAACTAACATCTATTATGGTTTCACTTAGGTAAATAATAAAGTCGTTTCTATAGCCTCTCAGGCAGCAGCTGAGTTTCACTTAGTTTTATTAGGTTATGAGCCATGGTGTGCAAAAGCTACGCAGGAAATAATTCTGATTTGAAACGGCAACCTCGGAACCATGACCACAGCACACGATACATCCACATGTCCAGTTCTCACTGGACCCAACGATTTTCAGATATAGAAACTCCGGATCATCTCAAAGCTACGTCGGGAAAAAGTTCTCCGGGTTGTTACTGTTACAAGTGACATACCAGAACCTACTTATGCTTCACTTTTGTACCTTACTTTTCATTTTTCCATCACATGACCAGTCATGTGACCATTTACTTTACTTTACATTTTCGGATTTTTCATAGTCACATGACCAATCATGTGACACATCACCTGACCAGTGTCTAGACTCATCATGTGACCGGTCACATGCTAGACATCGGACTTTGAACTTTATTTACAACTGTACAGTACCTCATGTATTTTAGTATATATACAAGAGCAATACATGGGGAAGGACTCAGCGAGTCCTCCTGTTGTCTAGCACAACTAACTCACTGCAGCCTAAGGGGTAACCACTCCCCATCATCTTCTTTATAGTGTGTTCCTGTGTGTGCCGGAGTAAATAACTCTTGGTTGTTACAGTTACTGGAGAGGAGCTTAAGCCCTCACCAGGAAAACCTACCTCCTCGGAGGATCCTGAAATCACCTGGATACTTAAGGATGAGAAGGCACATGGAATCATCCAGGACCACATCTCCAATGCTGTAAGATCCAATCCCTTTTGCCGAATTAACGGAGGGACAAGTTCTCAATCAACAAGTAGCGTTCAAGTAAAGTATATAGAAGTAATCAACAACTGAGGAAAAGTATGTACATGAGTGTTCAGTATATATATGTTTCTGAAGGTCAGCCATGAGGCGCTGACTGATGTTCTACGTCATGGTCTGGATTCTGTCACGTGATTGTCACGTGACTAGATATAACTAGGTATTTGTGTTATCCGCGCTAATAGCAGCAGCTTAACAACTTATGTCTGTCATGTGATCAGATATCAAAGAAAATGAAGAAAGAAATTAGCGCTTTAACTAGCGCTCTTGCTCAAGTCGTGACATTACCCCCTCCTTAAGACTTTCGTCTCAAAAGTAGGGATCCATCTTTCCGTTTTCCCAATTAAACAATTGTTTTCTGACTCTTGTCATTGTGAAGTTTTCGAAAGGTTGGAATTGTAGTTGGAATCGTATTCGTCGAGGTGCACTAGGGTTGTTATCATGGAATGACTTTACTTTGTCTGGTGAGTTGGTTAAGTGTTGTTCGGGTTCCCACGTGCGTTCTTCTTTTGGGTAATTCTTCCAATGTACTAAATATTCCAATTTTCCCTTTTTTAGACGTGAGTCTAGAACTTCTTCGACTTCATATTCTTCTTGTCCGTCTACTATTACCGGTGGTATCGGTTTGGGTTTTTGTTGGGAAGGGAATTGTGGTTCCTTGTACGGTGTAAGCTTCGTCTCGTTAAATACTGGATGAATAGGCCGCCATGTTGGTGGTAGTGCTAGTTTGTAGGCTGATTCACCTATCTTTTCCAGTATTTCGAACGGACCATGTCTCTTATCGTCTAGTTTCTTGGCTGGTCGATCTGTTGAGATATTGGTTGCTTCTACATACACCTTATCTCCTACTTTATATTCCACTGCTTCTCTTTTCTTCTTATCATACTGCTTCTTCATCTGTTCGGCTGCTTTTTGCAACGACTTCTCTGCTTTCTTCCTCGTTTCTGTCATCCTTTTTACGAAATCCTCCGCTTTTTCATTCTTTACTTCCACTCTCACTACTTCCTGTGTTCTTGGATGGTGTCCTTGATTCAAGTAGAACGGGCTGTATCCCGTCGCAGAATGTTGTTTGTTGTTATAAGAGAATTCTGCTAGGGTAAGCCATTCTGCCCAATCATCTTGTTTGTGGTTTACGAAGATTCTGAGATACTGCTCTATCTCTTGATTGATCCTCTCCGTTTGTCCATCCGTTTGTGGGTGCCAAGCCGTTGATGGGTTTGCTCTTATCTGAAGAAGTGTATGTAGATCTTTCATAAATTTAGAAACGAACTGCGGTCCCCGATCTGAGATGATTTTTTCGGGTATGCCGTGGTTTCTAAATACGTGATCTCTAAATAGTCGTGCTACTCCTTCTGATGTGATTTCCATCTGCGTGGGAATTACCTTGATCATTTTTGTAAATCGATCGACTACTACCATTATCATGTTATATCCTTTTGATTCTGGTAGTGGTCTGATTAGATCTACCGATATGATCTGCCAAGGTTTATCCGGGATCTCGTTTGGATGGAGCGGCGCTGCTTTCTTTTTGTGGTCTATTTTGGTTCTTTGGCAGACTTCGCATCCATCTACGTATCTCGTGATATCTCTGTCCATGTAGGGCCACCAGTATTGTTGAGTGATTAACTCTTTTGTCTTATACCTTCCTGGATGGCCTGCAACGGTAGAGTCGTGGTTTCGTCTGATAATTTCTTCCCTTAACGCGGCGCCTTTTGGTACATAGATTCTGCCTTTGAATACTATGTAACCACCTTCTTTGAACCATCCATCCTCTCTCCTCTCTATCTTTCCTTTCATCTTTTTTATCAAATCATCCATGTTTCCTTTTCTTTTTGAGATCCATTTTGAAATCTCTAACTCTTTTTCCTGACTGTCTGCAATTCTTTGTCTCTGTTCTGATGAAAGAGTCATTCTTACAAACAGTTTCTCGTCTAGCAGTACGACGTCCTCGTTGTCATTTTCTCCTTTGTTGTGATCTGATCGTCTCGAGAGTAAATCTGCTTTTATATGCTTCCTTCCCGGCATATGATGTATTGTGAAATGATACTGACTCAACTCCGTCATCCACCGTGCCTGTCTTCTGTTCAACTTCTTTGGTTCTTTGAAATACAGCAGATTTTGATGATCTGTCCATATCTCGAATTCTTCCTCCGCATCTATTAAGTAATGTCTCCATTCGTTAAGTGCTGTCATGATGGCAAGAAGTTCTTTGTCATAGATCTCGTAATTGCATTCTGTGGGATTCAACGCTTTAGAGAGGTATGCAATTGGCTTCCAGTCATCCTTTTGTCTTTGTGATAAGACAGCACCCATAGCGAAGTCACTACTGTCCGCTTCTACTTTGTATTGGCCATGTGGTACTGGGAGAGCTAACACTGGGGCTGAAGCTACGCGTTGTTTCAATGTGTTAAATGCTTCGCGTTGTTCATTTCCCCAAATGAAGTCC